TCTCGGCTTCCTCCGCCCTGGTTTTTCCCGATTTGGGTTTCCACGTAAATTCCTGTGTCTATTCTATTTATTTTATTCGTATTTCGTTGTGATTATTACGCTTTGATATTTTTGATCTCATTCCGCATTGAGCTAATATTATTTAAGTCTATTCGGATCCTTCGTATTCACAACAATTGGTATCAGAGCATCCGGGTTGTAATATTAGCTCATTGGGATCATTTTATCAAGTAATTAATCATGTCTTCGGTAAAATACGATATTCCACTACTGGATCGTAACACACGATTTCCGTTGTGGCAAGTAAAGATGAGAGACATTCTCATTCAGATGGATTTACACAGGCGCTATTGGGTTTCAATAAGATGCCCGATACATGGACCGAAGAAGAAAAGGAGATGAAAGATCTGAGGCTTTATCCCAGATTCGTTTGCACTTGTCAAACGATGTTTTGCAAGATGTTCTAAAAGAAACGTCAGCGGCTTCTTTATGGCTAAAGTTGGAGCAACTGTTGATTGACCAAGAGCTTACCAAACAAGTTGCATTTGAAGCAACGGTTGTTCAATCTCAAGATGATTGAAGGAGGCTCGTTAACTGAACATATATCCACATTTAAAGAGTTAGTAAATAACTTAGAGAATATGGATGTTCAGTATGAAGATGAAGACTTGGCTTTATTCTTACTGTCGTCGTTGCCAGAATCCTATAGCCCATTTTCGTGATACTATTATCTATAGCCGTGACACTTTAGTTTTAGATGAGTCTATACAGCTTTGGATTCCAAAGAGAAGATGAAGCATATTACTGGTGGTGGTTCAAGTGATGCTAAAGCCGAAGGTTTGAATGCCAAGGAAGAACAACAGAGAGAAGTAGAACTTCTCAATCTTCCAACAGAACCAGATCCAAATCAAAAGGCAACAAAGTTTTGCAACTATTGTCACAAGAAGGGACATGTGCTTGAAGAATGCTTCAAGTTGAAGAATAAAGAAAAGAGAAGACGGCAGCAAATGGTAAACAAGCTAGCACTTCGGGTGAAGCCGATGTAGCTGAGGTGGAAGGTATTGGAGAACTTTTGACAGTTTATTCAGATAAACTGGATTCCACTGGTGATTGGATACTCGACTCTGGTTGTACTTTTCATATGTGTCACAACAAAAGTTGGTTTTACACATTTGAAAAGGTTAACCAGGCTATGTGTGATGGGTAACAATACTACATGTCCAGTTCTTGGACATGGTTCAGTCAGGATCCGATGTTTGACGGAGTTATTCGAACCATGGGGGATGTTAAATATGTTCCTGACCTCAGAAGAAACTTGTTATCTCTCAGTTCCTTTGACAAAAGGGGATACGAGTTTGTTGGTAAAGGTGGAGTTCTCAGGGTATTCAAAGACGGCTCCGACAAACTGAGAGCCAAACGAAAAACCTCAGATCTTTACTTTCTTGACGGTCAAACAATTTCGAGTGATGCTGCTGTTGTTTCAAAGTCTCTTTCTGATCCAGATCAGTCCCGTCTTTGGCACCTTCGACTCGGCCATATGAGTTTTCAAGGCATGTCAGAATTGAGTCGAAGAGGTTTACTTGGTCAACAAAAGATTATTGATTTGGATTTCTGTGAAGACTGTGTATATGGTAAGGCAAAACGAGTGAGGTTTGCAAGTGGCATCCATACAACGAAAGGACCACTTGATTATGTTCACTCGGATTTGTGGGGACCGTCTCGAGTTGCTTCAAAAGGTGGAGCTATTTATATGCTCACTATTATTGATGATTTCTCCAGGGAGGTGTGGTCTTTCTTCTTAAAACATAAAGGAGACGTTTTCTATACCTTCAGAAATTGGAAAGTTCAGGTTGAAAAGCAATCAGGTCTGGTGGTAAAGTATCTTCGTACGGATATGGACTTGAGTTTTGCTCAGAAGAGTTTAATGTCTATTGTCAAAAGGAAGGCATTACTCGACATCGCACAGTAGTCCATTCACCTCAACAAAATGGTGTAGCTGAAAGGATGAATCGCACCATTATGGAGAAGGTCCGGTGTATGCTTTCTAATTCCAAATTGCCAAAGTCTTTTTGGGCGGAGGCTGCTTCGACTGCTTGCTATGTTATCAACCGATCACCGTCAAGAGCAATCGAGAAGAAAACTCCGTTTGAGTTATGGTCCGGTAAACCTGCCATTATTCAGATTTAAAACCATTCGGATGTCCAGCGTAGCACGAGTGATAATGGGAAGCTAGAACCAAGAGCAATCAAATGCCTTTTTCTTGGGTACAATCAAGGTGTAAAGGGTTACAAGTTATGGAGCTTTGATTTGAAGAAAATTATCATCTCAAGAGATGTTACTTTTGATGAGTCTGCTATGATTCAACCAGTTGCTGACTCTTCTAAAAGAGCAGATGCATCAGATGTATCATCCGAAGCAAATAAAGAGTATGCTCAAATGGAGGTGGAGCTTCCTACTTCACCTACCACTAATCAGAGTACAAATCAGCATCAAGATTCTTCTTCGTCGGATGAGCATGTTGTTGGTGAAGATTCAACACCTTCACAACCACAAGCTACTACTCCAAGCATTGCAAGAGATAGACCGAGAAGACAGATTATTCCTCCGAAGAGGTATGCTGAATCTGATTTGGTTGCCTATGCTTTTATTGTTGCTGATAATATTGAGTACGCAACGGAGCCTGCGAATTATGACGAGGCTATAAAATCTGAAGACTCAAATGATTGGATGCTCGCTATGCAAAATGAGATGGAATCCTTGCAGCGAAACAGTACTTGGAATTTAGTTCCTATTCTGAAAAGGAAGAGACCAGTTAAATGCAAGTGGGTCTATAAGCTCAAGGAACCTGTCAACCCAAATGATAAACCAAGATACAAAGCTCGGTTAGTAGCTAAAGGCTACAGTCAGATTCCTGGTATTGATTACACTGACATTTATTCCCCAGTTGTCAAACATACTTCCATTCGTGTATTGTTGGGGTTGGTTGCTTCTAACGATTTTGAGTTAGAACAACTTGATGTCACTACAGCTTTCCTAAATGGTGAGCTTGAGGAAGAGATTTTTATGCAACAACCTGAAGGTTTTGTAGTTCCTGGAAAGGAGAACTACGTATGCAAGTTGAACAAATCTCTTTATGGCCTCAAGCAGTCTCCTAGACAATGGTACAAGAGGTTCGATTCTTTCATGACCAGTCACAAATTCAGCAGGTGCACCTATGATAGCTGCGTTTATTTCAAGAAAGGTGACAATGGTTCAAAGATCTACTTACTCTTGTACGTGGATGACATGTTGATTGCAGCAAAAGATATGAAGGAGATTCAGAAGTTAAAAGACCAGTTGAAAGCTGAATTTGAAATGAAGGACTTAGGAGCTGCCAAAAAGATTTTAGGTATGGAAATTATTCGTGACAGGAAGTCTAGGATCTTGCATCTTTCTCAGAAAAGTTATATTGAGAAAGTCCTAAGACGCTTCAATATGCACGAAGCAAAGTCTGTCAACACACCTTTTGCAGCTCATTTCAAGCTATCATCCGCTTTTAGTCCTACTAATGAGACTGATATGGCTTACATGGCACGTGTTCCATACTCTAGTGCTGTTGGATCTTTAATGTATGCTATGATCTGCACACGCCCTGATTTGGCTTATGCTGTTAGCATGGTTAGTAGATACATGTCAAACCCAGGGAAAGAACACTGGAAAGCAGTACAATGGATTTTTCGTTATTTACGAGGTACGTCTTCCATGTGTTTACGTTTTGGCAAATCTAACACTGGGGTGTTCGGATATGTTGATTCAGATTATGGAAAAGATTTGGATAAACGAAGATCAATTACAGGGTATGTGTTTACACTAAATGGTTGTGCTGTTAGTTGGAAAGCCCAGTTACAGTCTACAGTTGCCCTGTCTTCTACCGAGGCAGAGTACATGGCGATTACAGAAGCAGTTAAGGAAGATATCTGGTTGAAGGGGTTATTCGGAGAACTCGATGATAGAATAAAGGTGACCACAGTTTTCTGTGACAACCAAAGTTCTATCTTCTTGAGTAAAGATCAAATGTTTCATGACCGAACAAAGCATATTGATATTCGTTATCATTTTGTGCGGGATATCATTGAAAAAGGTGATTGTGTTGTGGACAAGATTCATACAGATTATAATCCCGCTGATATGTTCACTAAAAGTCTTCCTATAGCCAAGTTCAAATTATGTTTGGACATGGTGGGGTGTTTCTGATCGCAGTTGAGCCTGAAGGCTCGTGGTGGAGGAACTATTATTTATTTTTCCGGAAACAATTTTTCTCTATACAAAATTGCAGTTTTTTATGGAAGTTTTAGAGTTTGATGAGCTAAAGGTTTTGATAACGTAAAGCATGACTTGCTTAATTTTGATGTCAAGGTGAGATTGTGGAAAAGTTGCCTCCAAAATTAGCAAGTGGCAAATAGTTCAGGGGTTATTTCCGTAACTTATCATTTACTATTCATAGTTTGACTATGAATAGTAATCTAATATGAAATTGAAAATGAAATTGGACGGAATGGAGGCGCAGCAGTTTTTTGGACGGCATTTTTGTTTTCACATTAGATTTATATTCTCCTCTTTGGCTATAAATAGCCAGAGAGACTTAACCCACAAAATTAACCCAACAATCAAATATATATATATAGTAAAACATTATATATATATATATATATATATATATATATATATAATATATATATATATACTGATACACCACCATATATATTTTAGCCCTCTCACTCTATTTGTAATCTCTTTCATAATCCCTGTAAACACTGCAAATTATAGTGAATTGTTTCTCGGCTTCCTCCGCCCGTGGTTTTTTCCCGATTTGGGTTTCCACGTAAATTCCTGTGTCTCTATTCTATTTATTTTATTCGTATTTCGTTGTGATTATTACGCTTTGATAATTTTTGATCTCATTCCGCATTGAGCTAATATTATTTAAGTCTATTCGGATCCTTCGTATTTCACAACAGAAATTATGGAACCATGGAAACAAAGGTAAGGGTAATTCCAGTTTCATGGCCAGTGCCCCAATTTTCATCTACATAAGGTTTGAACTTCATCCCTGCCCTATGCAGTTCCATGGCTGCGTGGCGTTTTGTACTTGGCACAGGCACTGATGGCATCGGTTCCGCAGGCCGGAAATATTTGTGGAAAAAGCCAAGAATATGATCAGGAGCCGAAGCATCGCGTACTACTTCTACCTTTCCTTCAATGAAGTAGTAAAGACTAACAAGTACTTTGATATACGTAGTAAGTGAGGCCCCCTCTCTCATCTGTCCAGATGCTAAAATAGTACACTCAAAGATGTTTTCAAGAACAAAATACGGAATTTGGTTTTCAATCATAATCAGGTCTAAAGCTATTGATTGAACAATCAATAAGCTTGTCCCGGATGGTACCCGGTCTAAAACACTAATGAACTCAAGTATGAAACAAGCATCAATCACCTTCATCTTAGCAAGCTCCAGATCGTCATAGGTGGTCGACCCTGCATAACGTTCTTTGATTCTTTTTATTGAACCAATCACCTTCTCCACACATGTTCCCAATGTCTGCTCTGGCACCATACGACAACGATGCAACAGATTATTTAAATAAGTTGTTTTTTGAACTTCAAATCCTTGCAAATGTTCATCATGTCTGTGAAGAGGTCCAATAGCGACCACCCTAGGGGTAAAAGATCTTGGTCTCAGATCTCGGACCGCACTAGGAACCATGTAAATTGATGGTGGCGCCTGTTTGCTTAGAATCTCTCCATTTTTTGTACATTCAAGTAGAGAATTTAAAGTATTCCCAAAGAGATCTACTGCTCCAGACTTCACTGCCATTCAATGTTAGGTTGATTTCCGCTGTAACCAATCAGTTAGTTAGATCAAAATAGAGTAAATCTGATTGAAGAAAACAAGATTTAATACATTCAACACCTAGATATAATGGGGTTACCTATGTCGTGATTCCTGAATTGCTTCTCTATTGTAAACACTAGTTCAATTGTTTGCTTTTGTAACGCGTGTTTTAAGATTTAAACGTACTCCGTAGCTTATAAAAAAAACAAATAACCAATATCACATGCATACAGATACACTTATCTTATTTAACGTAGACATGTATGTAGTGTACCGAGCAAAAATCCATTTTTTTTGTTTTTTTAATTAAATTTTTTTTTTTCAGAAAAATGACTAGATAAATTAAAATTCAGAATTTTTTTGTCTCATTTGTGTGTGTGCAATTTGCTGTGTATTATTCTTGGGCAACAGATTTTAGATCTGTTCTAATTCTTGACATAATGTTAGACACAAGTTTAGATAATAATAGCAAGAGTAACACATTAAAAAAGATACAACACCTAATAAGTAATAATAACGGGGTTACCTAAACCTTCTTCGTGAATTGCTTGTTTGGTTTTGTAATGTGTCTCTTCAGCTTTATATCCATTTCAAAAAACTTTAAAGTAGAAATCCATAACACATGTACAAAATCTTCCCCTATAAGTTTACCCGCTAACTGTCAAAATTAAAATCTCTAGCTTTTATTTAAAGTACGATGTGTGTAATACAATCTTCCACCTTCAACGTTCTCCATGACCCAATCCCCTCTTATATATGTCGGTCAATTTTGATTACTTGAATATATGTAATGTAATTAAGAATTGAATTTCCTTTGACAATAGCATTGGTATCATCAAAGAACATCACCATGATTCTGTTCACGCTAGTTGTCTCCTTAATTCTTTTTCCCTTTATATTTCTTTACATGTTATTAAATAAAAGAGTCTATTGTCTAAAAAAAAAAGAAAAACAAATGAATATTATTCCAAATGGCGTGAAGGAAAACTGAAACTTGTTTTAAATCCCATGTTTACTATTCCAACGTCCACTTCAATTTTTAAACAAGGTGTCTAAGAAAATTATCTTATAGAAAAAAAAATTATATTAATAAAACTATAGCACCCAATCATTTATACAATTGAAATGTAGTAATTTAAAAAACAATCATGTTACATAAAGTTAAATCTTATTAAATTTGGTCCCAACAAAAACATTTTTAAAATGATAAACAATTCCCGAGTTACAAACTCACACAACCTTAGTAAACTAGCAACGTCAACAAATATTTTAATATTTCTACCGAAATTTCGGCATAACCTTTAGGGAAACTAAATGAATTAATACTGACATGACCATCAAAATCAGACCAAAATAAAACTCGGAACATGCTAAAAACATACAATACTAGTACAAGAGTGTTACTACACCCAAATCAAACTCTCTCTCAATGTAACTATACCGTCAAGGAAGACCATTCGAATCATCACTTCTATATACTTTTGACAGAGTCGAAGAATGATGATTTTGATTGTAACCACAACTCCATAAGTAAGAATTGCATACACAACAATAAACATGATTCGAGAAAGAAGGAAAACATGTATGCATATATAGTTGGAGTTGGTTATCCTGATTTTCATACATTGATCTACTTGTAAGATCTCAATAAGTGAATCAACATTGAGTGATAATTTCGAGTTTAGTAGGACAATGTGTGTTATGCAAGTAAACACAAAGAATACAAAAACCAACAAGGACAACACATAAACCAACCCAATAACATTGTTTATCCATAGAAATAAGGACATTAAGCTACAAGATCTTAAGAAAAATAGTTGAAAGAAGCTGCCTGGTAATCAGAAAAGAGTTGAAGGAATGGATTTCCAAATTCTCATGAAGAGAATATAGTTGAGCAAAAAAGGAGATTAGTAAAACTTGTAAATCGGGGAATGGAATGGCGAGTTTAACGTTATATGAGTATAGTGTGCATGCATTGTTATGACTCGTGTATCACTACAGACACATGGCACTCAATGTGGCTTGATGGAACCATTAAGCTACCTGAGGATCAAGTTGGATCGGGATGATAGTTTAAATCATGATATGTTGGAATATAGAGAATATATGGATTTAGACTTTGGGTGTCATGAATAGTGAGACAATATTTTATAAAATGTTCGGTCTACCAACATTATGTAATTACTGAGCAAGGAGTCATATTTCGATGCGACAGTCTCGGTTGAATGTGAGGTGATCGTGTTTGATACTTCATAAAACGATTTAGAAAGAGATATGGAAAATGGTGATATGGACACCTATGGAATTTGAGTAGCATAGTTAAAGCGTATTGGGTCTATAGCCCACCATAAAATGATTGTATATTGTTCCTAAGTTTGATGGGGACAACTTTGGTGATTATCATATGTTATTTTAAGCATAAAATGCTTGATGAAGTAAAGAGAAAGTAAATGAGTAATCCTAGAATGGATGAAAAGATTATACTGAGATAGATTTTTCTATAGAAAAGTAAGTTGTGACCAGGGAAATCAATGTGAGTTGATTTCCTAAAAAATGTTAAGATTAAATATCTGGAAGAATTCTATTTCTTGATGAAAGACTGCAAGACTAATGGTCAACCTTTTGTAGGTTGACTCAAATGTAATAATTGTTTCCATTAAGTGTTAAGATATTTGTTGTAGGGATTAAGATGAGGAATTACTGTCTAGATGTCCACATTAACAGGATGATAGTTGCAGTCGTATGTTATGGTTTGATAGAGTACGCTTTAGGTGTGGTGATTCTAAACTGAATTGGAAAAGTTTCATCGGAAAGATGAAGAATAGAGTTGACCGAAAGGTTTAGAGTCCACTTAAGTTTCCGTGATTGTTAAGTTCTCTTAGAGGACGACCTCGATAACGGAGACTAGAGAAGTGAAACAAATAAACGATGGAAGAGGATCATGGTGTAATGAAATCTATAAGAGAATGAAATAAGTGGAATTACCTGATATGAGTAAGGAAATGATCAATAGGTACTGACCTTGTAGGGTTAGTACTAATAGACCCTACCATAGAGAGAGGGTATGATGAAGTAAGAGATGTCCAAACGGAGATCTCGATGTAAACACAAGATTGAAAAGAAGGTCATAGATACGAGGAGGAAATATACTCTAGTTGAGTACTTATGCAAGACCTTAGGGGTCGACAGTTGATCTAACGATCATTTATATAAAAAACATTTAATGGAAAGGATATGGCCAATAAGAGGATTTGTATGGAATCTCTATTGATAGTATCACCCTTTGGGGTATGCCAATGTGTAGGTTATGATTAACCTAAGAATCGAGTGATAAAGATCATTTTAAGGTTCCTATTTGGGTTCCTAACGATTGCAGATAACAATCAATATGCTACTAAAATGTATAATGATTGTTAATGGCCACGCTTAGATGTTGATGAACATGTTCGAAGAGCTCAAGATGAGCCACCCTATTAAAGGTTTTAATAAAATCGTGAATCGAGAAATTCATGATATGAGCCCGGTGAGAAGTAATCAAATACATGTTATGAGAATAGGGAGGATAAATCCTTGAGATGAGTGTGTCACCAAGTTGGGTGAAAATAGTGTGAATAAATAACCGTTTATCTGAGAAACAAAGGTGCTGATTACGTTTGAATAATAAGGATACATGTGGTATCGATAAAAGAATTAATTCCTTGTAGGGATTATATGATAAGGTTGATGACCATTAAATGGAAGAATGGAAATGATAAAGTGAATATTGTGTGTAAAAATGGTACATAGGTACCAATAAGAGGGTTGAGGCCCTTAAGAATCGTAATATAGAGTTGTGACTATCGGATTGACAGTTAGAGGTTGATATCAGTTGGGTTTGTATGACCTATTAGCCAAAAATGGTTCAAATATGATAGACATACTAGGTAATGATGGTAGTACCATCGATTGTGTGGGTATATGAAAACCATTGTAAATGACTCGAAGAGAACATTACATCTAATGTGGATGCAAGGTTTATATAGTATATGGTCATAAAGTGTAAACCGACTGCGGATCGGAAAGGTGATTATAGGCGTTCCGAATAGATGCCGAGGGCGAAATCCTATTAAGGGGGAGGGAGTTGTAATGACCAAAGAATCCCATATTGTGGATTAAAATATGTATTTGGTATATACATAACTAAGAGTGAACTTAATTAATGAAACAGTGACGTTTCGGTAATGTAATACATATGTTTGTATACTTATGGCATTATAACGAAAAATGTATAAAGCTTAATATATGATTAGTTATAGGAAATTTATAGTTCACTCCGCGGTGGTCACTTTGATATAAAAATCTTCGGGAAAAGAGTTCGAATGAGGATGTTATGGACATCGGAAGTTGAGACAAAATAGTTGCGACACCACGACGTGGTAATGCGTTTACCATGGCGTGGTGAAACCGAATTACCAAAAATAAAAGCCTTAAGTCGAATTATTTGACTGCATTTGATACCAAAATATCCCTTGGAGCAGTAGGTGCGAAAAAGGGGTGAAAAGTGAAGGTTTTGAAGAGATTATGCTCCTGGGAGTCTAGAATATCGATATGAGCTTCGGTTTCCGCGATACCGACGTCGGGGGTAAGCTTTTAAGTCGAGGAAAGATGATTACGACTTAGACATAGAGGTCATACGACCATGTAGCAAGGTTACCATTGTCGTCGGGCTAAGGTATCCTATCGATTTGTTAATATGTAATTTTAATTACATAAGTATTAAGTTGTGATAGGTTGATAAACCTGATATAGTATGTGAACTCATAACACGATGTTGTTATGAACTGATTAATAAGAAATAGATAATGGGGTTTCCATAGTGTAACTCTTGATTCGATAACGTGGGGTTCTAAAACCAAGTTTACAAGATTTTCCGATTTATGGGATTGGATTACCGACTTGTAGATTTAAGTCGTTTGGTAATATTTTGCGGAGTTTAGTGATTT